CTCGCGATTTATGATGGCGGTTACAACGGACACAAGTGACACTGTGCGGGGTCAATTAATAATACAATAATTTCTATGAAAATAATAAAAATTAATAATATTTGTGTAACTGTATTTGTTACACTACCCATAATATTATACATCGATGAATGTTGAGACTTACCTGATTGCTGTAATAAGATTGATGCGATCGAGCAGATGCTGCTGTATGCAGAATACGCGGGCAATATATCTGGGTGCGATTATAACACTTACTGCAGTGATTCACAGACTTGTGCTATGATCCATATTATAAATAATAATAATCATATGATTATTATTATTATTACAACAGCATGCTGTTTAAATTACTGCGACTGCGGACTAGTCTACACGACTGTTTTATCAACAAAATAAAAACCTAATAAATCTCTTTTCAATTAAAAATCGCGTGATTACGACTATGGGTCAGGAACATATTATATTATGTTCCTATATTTATAATATTGTATAATTAAAACTTAAGGGTTTTTTTAAACCGAGATAAATATATAAGAGTGAATTAAAAATATATTATTTGTATGTAATTATGATTATTTATTTAATTAACGAATGATTTTAATCAGTTAAACAAAACGAAATGCAAATATTAGAAAAATACTCATTTTTTTCCAGAAAACCAATCGTAAATCATGATATGTGATAAACTATGGTACATAACAACTTATCAGTAATATTCAATAAAGGCCAATATAAAAAATTACTTTGAACTATGCAATTTTTGATTTGTCGATTCATTTGAAAAGTATTGATATAGATTAATCATTATTAATGTAATTTAATTTCCGTATATAAGTGTCTATATTAATGGCAATTTTAGTTGCAAAATTTTCCATAATTTTAACGCATGTATAATAAATTTTAATATAATTATCTTTAGCCATAGAAGCTGAGAATTCAATGTATTTTTGTAATTTCATTTTGAAATCTGAATTAAAAATATATGAGATACAAATTTGATTTAAGACATATTATTATCATTCAAATATAGGTGACAGTTTTTTATGTTTTCACGTGATATTATGTAAATGTTTTAGACGTTATAAAGTGAACATAACTATATTTTTTATGTTTTGATCATAAATATTTGAGAAAAAAGTATAAATTTATGCAAATTTTATATAACATATATATATATATATATTTATTATTTGAATTTTGATTAAATATTTTGAAATGTATATTTTTTTTGTTATCGGTATATAAATACAGGTCTATTTAGTAATCCTTTCACCAAATCTAAATTACATTTTTTATTAATAGAACATAGCTAACATATTTTAATATTTAATGTACATTGTTAATTATTTTTTAGCAGTGCTACTTAATCTATAAAATATTCAAAATTTTAAATTTATTTTACATTATTTCTTACTTGATTAGGTACATATAATACATTATACAGTTTTAATGCATATTTTCCTACTTTTGAATTCATAGACTTAATTAATTCCTTATTTATATTTAATAAATAATAAGTTTTAATGCATTGAATAAACAGTTTTGAATTCATCATCAGCTGCTATTGGTTAATTTTCTCGAGTAGGCTCTCCGAAATTTTTGTTCATCATATATATAATATAGGTAAGCTTACCTATCTTATATAAGTAATGTGAACCATTTTATTCATTTTAGATCTTTTCAAACAGATGCCATATTTTCATATAATTTATTTTCCCTTCCTCAAATTAATGCTGGTTATCAAAGTTTATAGGTACAATACCTATAGGCTATAATGCTGGCAAACATACGAAACGGAAACGAATTATTAAATAACTTAACCCCTGCCATAGACTACAGTTTTTAGTACCTACATAATAATAATAAAATAAGTATAATGGTATAAGTACTATTTCAGTTTGAACTCTGAAAAATTAAAATTAGCCAAGGATGAGTATCAATTATTTGATTTTATTTCAGTAATTTACTTTTACTTATTATTATTTTACTATAATATTTTTCTGATATCTACCGATCACTTATTATATTCACCTTTGTAATTAGTAAGTTTATTGTTTTCGTGTGAATGTGTGATATGCCGACATACAATGTATATATTTTAAATATTTACGTACCAATTAGATATAAATATTGAATACCTACATGATGGTGTTTATTTTATTACTAGATTTAAATCCGTTTATTATATTTATACAACTCAATAGTTAATTCATTAATTGTATTCACGCGTATCGCCGGAAATAAGTGATAAAACCAACCCACGAGAGTACGAGACATTCAAAATCACCTCTCACAACATTGTTAAATAGTGGGTATAATAATAGTATTATTAACGGCAGCTCGATACAGTTAGTTAATATTGTCGTACCGCGGTGGTTGTAAAGGGAGACCTTTATCACAAAACAGTTATTTTCTCAGTAAATTTGGGGTTAAATAATTTAGGTTCACGATAATTTATTTACATTTTGAAAGTGGTAAATTGAGTAGGTATCGTAAAAAAAAGTAGTCGATAAATTGGGTCCATTTTTATCTTTTATTAATATATGGCATATATTTTTATTTTTATATTTAATTATATTATAAACTAGAAAGTATGTGGGACTAATCTTGATTAGTTAATTAAATTTTGATTTTACTGTAATAATAAAAATTGGTTTTTTACAATTTATACAATAATATAATAAAATATTATTATTATTATTCATTTATTCGACTTCTAAAATAGATTATTAGATATTAAAAGTATAATTTGTTTTTTCTAGGATTTATTTTACCTATTAGCTTTTTATTTCCGAGATCAATTAATTGAGAAAAGGTAAAACAGGAATCAATATACCAATACTAGTAAATTGATGTTTTTACTTTTTAAATACATTTTTTTAAGTAATCACATGATAATACATTAAAAAAAAAAAATGTTTTCAAAAATATAATTTTTATTAACCGTGAATGTAACTATACAGTGATAATAAGCAATAAATATTTCGTATGTATATACCTACAAAGTACAAGGTACAACTTTGAACTGAACTTATAAAATTGGGGATTAAAATTAGTGTTAATGAGTGGTGTTTAATGTCATAATTACATCTAGGTACCTACCTACTACCTACAATTATTGAATTGAGAATTATTGTGAAAATACGAAAACATACAATCTATAATATTTAAAACCTAATGAAAATGGAAAATTATTCTAACATTCAGGGTGATTCATCAAGATTATTATTTTTTTTCTTTAATAGCGCAGTTATTCAAATCTAATGAATAATGCTAATAAATAAAATCACAACTAAGTATTTTAAGTATTTTTATTATTCCATGCGGGTAAAGAAACTGATATAATAAACAATAGATCAAGGGCATTATTTAGGGAAGGGATCAAGGTGTATGATTGCACTCTTTACTTTTAAAATAGTACTAATTGGTTTGTGCCCCGCTGAGATAATGTTCAAAATGATATCTTCTTAAGGTTAAATATACGTTTATCTATAGGTATATTATTTTTATTAAATCCCTATGAATACACAATAATTGAATTAATATCAGATATTATACTATGTACATAAAAATACAATATTTTAGGTTTAATTATAAATTATGATAATATTCATGCCTGAATTTATTTATAAATCGTTTTAGTACCTATTGTAAAAACTTCAACGTTCAAATAAAACTCATTAATATTAAGTGTATAAAGCACCAATTGTTTTTTGATCTGAGAAATTGGCTTAGATATTAATATTTGTTTTATTAGTTAAAATAATAATAACTTAAATGTTTTGAGTCTTGGCCCTTTAGTTTTTTACAACAGATGCTTATATATTAATGGCTGCACAGTATGAACACCATCAATTAACTAATGCCAGTAGTTTTATGCTGTCTTAAACTCCTTAAAATGTAAATTACACATATTTTTAACATATTCATCTAGGTGGTTTTGAACACATAAAGTACAGGTCTAAAATGATATCCAATTATAGCTATTTTATTTTTTGTAAACATAGTAACTCTATACAAGCAAAAGAAATATTAGATTTTCATGGGCCAACAAATTTATGTTAGTCTCTTTTAAAATGCAAAATTTTAAAACTGATTTGAGATGTATATCTTTGGGAATAGAATGATAGATACTTTTAAATACTATTTTAGAATAACCAGCGCAATAAACTTGACTATGGAATATGGATCTCTTTACATACACACATACATGACCTTTTATCTATATAGATTAGTTATTAAAAATGTACATTGTATTAATAAACACACATTTTATTTAAAATGTTATGCATGACAATTATTATCAATAATTATTTTTACACAAATTGAATACAAATTTAAATATATAGTAAATAAAGAATAAATGTTAGAAACATCAAATGTTTTATATTAAATATACATTTAAAATTGCTTTACCAAGAGTTATTTGAAAGAAATCCGTTACTTCACTATAGTTTTGTGTCTACATAATATAGCATATTATAGTAAAATGTAGGTAACATAAATACATTAAATTATTATCATCTGACAAACCAAAGATATATCCTCAAATATTAATACTAATGCTATGATTTATCTCTGTTGATAATAATTATCATACAAAAAAATATGAGTACATTTAATTTAGAATAGGTACAATAAACATTAAAACAATATTGGCTGAATTTGATAAAATATACATATCTATCAGATTAAGTTAAAACAAAATATATATTTTAACAAAAAGTAATAGTTATATTTTATTTATATGTATAATGGTAGGTATACAATAGATTTTTATTAAAGTAGAAGAGAATTAAAATATTTTTTATCCTAAAATAATAACATAAAGAAGTTGACAATTATATAATAGAATTAGTCAAATAAATAATTTTGGGCTAATAGGTATATTATAATTATACATAATCATTAATCTTAACTATTTAAATACATTGTATATGTGATTTATTATCAATTATTTTTTTTAATTAACTAATTAATAATAAACATAGTATTATAGTATTCATAATCAGATATATGCATGCAAATTGTGAAAAACACTACTTATTTATACTTAAATGCATACATTTCTTAAGTACTAAGTTTTCTACAAAATAAATAACATTAATAACAATCTTAAAAATAAAATAAAAATATAATCAGAAAATCTTAAGTTGTATTATGAGTTATGTTGAAAATGATTTAGGAATCCACCAAGAGTCCATTATCATTTTCATAATACCAAATGGTACTAATGGATTCTTACTAGAGTCAAAAGCTTGCAAACAATAAAATTGCAGGTTTACTGGTAATGAACGACAGTATTTTATTGTGAAATTAGTTCTGCATGCAGTGGAGCACACCATAGGGTAAAGATTTACATTATCCAGTTTTTCAAAAGCCACACCTAAAGATTATTAATTATAATAAGTTATTTGATTAGCAGTGTAATTTAGTGGTATCACTCACCTAATGGAACTCTATTAAGGAAAAATTCCAAAGTCCCTCTGGACATGTCTAATCGAACTCCAATCAATGCATCACCCTGATCATATTTCTGACCATAGATCAAAGTTTCTCCATCATGGTGTTTGACCCCTATGAAAAAAAAAAAATGCATTATTAAAATAGCAAGAAAAAAATAAATCATAAAATAACTGAATACAACTTACCTTTATATGAATATCCCCATGATTTTTTATCTGATCCTATGAGACTGGTAAATTCGTTTTTAGAGCTTTCCAAGTCGAAATCTTTTGTACCAACACCAACTATCTACGAGTACAGACATTATTTATTAATATTATAATATTATAATTATAAGTATTTATTAGATATCCCTGATAAAAATAAAAAACTGTTTGTTATAGTATTACCATGTCGGTGGCCATCGGTGAGCCATCCACTTTGATTTCCCAATAGTAGATATGACCAGGCACAAATGGCTTATCACCACGAACTGCTCCAGTACCCCGGCTAGAGTTTGGATGGATCAAAACATTAAAAGTGTCGTCTGATATATTTGCATCAGCAGTTGATTCTAAGGTGTCCCATCCCCATTCCATGTCTGGCCAATATAATATTAATTATATCATAACAGGTTATATTGCTATACTATATAGTCTGATTTAATCAGTTTAATAAACACATTGGTGTTAAACTTACCGTCATTAGTATTTAGACGCTGGTAGTTTGCCGAATTTTTAAGATTTTGCAACAGTTTATAACTCGATAGGGCCATATTAGAAAGTGATTTCTTTTTTAATTTAAAACATTTGTCGTACAATAAATACACATTACAAGCCTGGGAAATTAATTTTAACTACTCTTAATTAAGAGTGTTAAGTTATTTCGTAGTTACTAGTTAGTACTTAGTAGTTACTACTCACTAGTTAGTAGTTATTACTTATTTCACAGTCTCAGCGCCTCACAGTCCACAGACAAGAAATTACAAAGACTGTATTCGAACAGCAGATGTTGAATGTTGATGTAATGCTATCTATATTCTATACCTTTGTATATATATATTATATTACAGTGTTTATAATATTAACTACGAATAAACACAGCCATACAGCGCAACCTGCTGTTTCTAGAACATTCTATAATTTGCACGAATTCTGTACATGTGTGTCCGCTAGATGACGCTGTCACTATACGCGCGTGAATTTGAGCTTTTCTTTCGATTTTAATAATGTCAGAGAACATCCGATTCATACTATAATAAATAATATTGCTATAATTTATTATTCTAAACTAATTGTTATAAGTTTATCACCAACGAAATTTATTCCATCAAACATATTATTCGCCGCCCAAATATGAATCGATTAAAAACAGCAAAAAAAAAAAGTAATAATTAAGAAAATAAATAAATACTGTAGATATTGATAACGCTCCATAAGACCATAAACATTATATAACTATTTTTTTGTATTGTTATTTTCATTATGCTTTTTTTACTGTTAACAATATTTATATTTGATTAATGGTAGTTACAATGCCTTTATAATAAGTTTATATGCATTATATATACATAACATTTTTCCTTAATAACGGTATCTTTAAGTAATTTTAATTGTATATTATGTAGAATAATTCATTCAAGTATGTCTAGACTCATAATTTTGAAAAGTTCTAATTTTTTTAAAATATTTGTTTCATATCATTTGATATAACTTTAAAACAACGTTTTAAAAAATAAATAATATTTTTCACAACGTTTTATTATTATCATTTTTTTAGTCTTACTTTTTGAATGATAATATAAATTTTTAATTTCATATTTCGAATATACCAGGTACCCTCAAAAATTTTGGTTCACTTTACAATTCATCTGAACTTTAATTAACTAATAAACTTTACTTAACTAAAATTTGATTGTTATATTAGATTGGTGAAATATTTTAAATATTATTTTACTTTGGAAAATGAAATAAAAAATTAATAGTCGTATTAGTCAAAAAAAAAAAAAAAAATTTAAAAAAATAATATTTTGATAGATGACATAAATTATATAAGAAAATATTTAGAAATAATGAGTGTAGACACTTAAATGAATCACTTTACTGGCTATTATATTTAAATATTTTTAAGATTTTTAATACAGTTTATACTTGTAATGATATTCACATTAGGTATTACGCTACAAAGCTTTAAAATTAAATAGCATAATAATATTATTCATCATTCATCCTAATGTTTAGTAAATAATAATCATATCCATAAACAATATTATAACAATCAAAATTATATCATTAACACTTTATTCTTAATTATACTATATTATATTACAATATCTAACAAATTACCAATAATACCCAATAAACATATGTATTTACAAACTACTATAACATATGAAATAATTACCGAACAATTAGTAATAATATAATTTTCATTTGTTTAGTACTTAAATATTATAAAAAACATGTTTTATAATACAAATGTACTTATACAAAATAAACAATAACAAATTAAAATGGAACAACAAGTAAAATATCAAGTTTATAAGTAGAACCCCCATTCTGACATTAAAGTTAGTTATGTCTCTATCAAGGATTCTGTCTCCACCGAGTAGTCTACATCCAATCACTAGCCTTTCCTCACAGAAGCTCACCATCGTTATTCTCAAAAGCAAGAGAGTATTAATTCAATAATCCAAATTGATCTTTCACTCGTTGTAAAGTTTAAATTAATGTTATAAATCTTATTCAAACTATTATTCTTATTTTATTCATCTAATGCATGTTAAATTTACATCTTAATATTATTGACATCTGGGATTTAACACCCATCACTCATTAGGTAAGAAAATATATTTATATTCTTATACTTCAGTACGTCAAATACAGAAAGAATATCATCATTAATAGTAAAAATAACACACGTAGACTCTGGTATTCCAAGGAAGGTAAATATAATTTGTATTTATAAATCTATATCTGCGATCCCGAATAAATCATAATAATATATAGGTTTTAACAAATAATAGAGTTAATAGACGAAAAGGTAAAAGAACGTCGACACTCTTAGCTTCATCGTTTATGTTTAAAGAAACCTAACTATAACATCTAAAAAGTTAGTATATTATTATAAGGTAAAGTTTCATCAATAATTTTAGCCAAGCTTATTTTTGATTCATTACACACTAAACTTTAATAAATCTTTAATAATAATCATTAATTATTATTGTATCAATATACCTTCACTTTTTATTATATTTAATTTTATAGTTTAAAATAATTGAAAACAAAAGATATTTTAGAGTATTTATTTGTGATTTTAATTGCTACTTGAATACACATTTTGATCATTTTTACTTTTAATGCACAAATCCTGAATCCAGCTAATTATAGCAAAAATATGTTGGTGAACTTTGTTTATTTGCTTACTATTGTAGAATTGATATGTATTTTATAAGGCAAGTAGCACAATACCACAACCACCGATTTCGTATATTGGTCAAAAATGTAACTTGGCATAAAATTGTATAGTTATCGTTTATAAATACGTGACTATATTATAATTATAGACTATAGTCAATATTGTACATGAATAGCCTATTCATAACGCCGTAATATAATGATGTAGTATTGAAATAATTAGGAAAATAAAACATGTGTCTTTAGCCTTTTGAGAAAGAAAAAAATGAACCGATAATGATGGTGATACAAATACGTTGGGATAAAAAAGGAAAAATTTAGTTTAAAGTGTGTACTAAAATGTTATAGTAACTATGATAATGTATACAATAATTTAAATGCATTTTTTTCATATTATCATGAAAATTAATGATACTTAGTACTTACTAATTATATGAAATCTTTGTACTACATTTATTCTCACTATCTTCTAAAATGTATATGGATTCTTGGCTCTTGTATTTTGAAAAAACAATCATCAATATAATTATAAAGTGGATTGGGATTGTACTTGACATAATATCACCCATATCGGCCATATCTATTTCAATAATACATAAGCCTTCTGGCATAGAGAATAAAAATAGAAAATGTGGTTGATCGTCTCGATTTTCATGATTTTACATCCAATTAGTATAAAAATTAATTTTTTTCCAAATCAGATCTAATTTTGAAGCGATATTGTTAATTATTTAACAACTGATAATATGTGAGTATTTTCTTAATTTTATTTTAAATATAGTTTTAAATTATTTGTGTATTAACAGATTTTGCTTAAATATAATAAAATGTAAACCATGTTTTAGTATGCCATTAGTATATTATTAAGAGAAGAATATTTTTAGTTTCCACGTTTCATTACCTTTATTCATCCTAAATTTAACTTAATATTTTAATAGGTATTAATAAAAATTATTAGGTTAAAAATTATTTATTATAATTAAATTATTTCTATAAGAATTTGATTTTGTTGATTTTACTTTTTCTATACAGTCGAACTCTCCGGTTAACACTAAAAATGAGATATATTTTCACGTTGGGTTAACCTAAATGCTAATCGTCGAGATTATATAGCTAATTTGTCCAACATGTAGATATAATAATATATTTAATATATGTATAGGTATAAATGAAAAATTCTGTGATTTAGGAAATAGTTTATAGACTTTTTATGACTACTAAACATGGATTATAATACTAAACCGAGTCTGTAATAACACGTATTATTCTTACGAAATTGTGTAACAAAATAATTGAAACAAAAAAATAACCCTAATGGCTTGTATATACTTAATAGTGAGAGCTTTACTATTATTATCTAGCTAGAATGGTACCTCGGTGTATACACGTAACTCGTAGTGTCACATATTTTGATTCGAAGATGTTTTCAAGAGCTATTATAATTTTACTCTTCATAATTGGATAATTATAGGATAAGGAATAAATTATGGATCACAATTGCGGCAATGAAGTCAAAAAAGACTATTTTATTTTATTTATTGTAATATTTCATAAATTCATGATAAACATTTACTAAATTGTTACTATTGTAAGAGTAATAATGAATTGATTTTTTTCAATCATATCACCGTGGACGATAGTCCGCATAATATACAATGCATGTTCATTTATTTTCCGCAAATTTTATTATACCAAATATTTTTATTTTACTACTTATAATAAACAATTTGGAATATTCAGACCTTTATACATATATAATATAAATAATTTGATTGAAAAATATAAAGCAGCTGGATATATATAAATATGTATGTAAAAATAGTTAAATAAATCAAAATGATTGTGTATCATTGTGTTGAATTTATTGTACACAGTTGGGAGTTGCGACAGTGAACGACTTGGGTGATTGAATAGAAAAATAAATTTGTCACGACTATGATTGTTCCGAATTTATAATGTTTTCTGTATGTTAAATACATTAAGTTCTAGTCGCTTACTTTTTTAGTAACTGAATTAATATAAATATATTACGGTCATTATTTATTTAATGCTTTCGGATTTCGCAAAAAAAAAAAAAAATAATCAACTAGTAAATCACTAAGTGAAAGACAACAAATGCTAGATAATTTTATGAATAGAAAATGGTTGGACAATAGTATAGCCTATGCCGGTGTAGTATTGTACCTATTATTCATTTAGCACAGAAAATAAAATCCAATATGATGTACGGTTTTTTGATTATCTGAATAGATTTTATGAAGATAACAATAAAGAGAAAAAATAATCAAACCGATCATAATTTTAAATTGTAATAGTAAATATTTTCAATTTTGGTTTTAAAATAGATAATATTCATTCATTTGAATAGTATGTTTTTGCATTAGACACACGTCGCGTTATTCAGATTTGCCTAAATAAAATTTCACATTATTTATTGTGTGTTTTTACATCGAGTTCATAAAATGAAAAATTGTTAAAGAGATAAAAGCTTAAAAAAATAAAACCATTTGATTAGCGTTCTAGGAAGAAAGAAGGCTTTAGAAGGGACTGATTGTTTTATTAAGTATTTCTTGTCTTAATAATAAAAATAAATATTTTAGTCATTATAAAATATCAATTA